AACATTTTAACACACCTAAAATTATAGGACTCTTACTGCACCATGGGTTCTGTTTGCATAATGATGGGAAACAGTTTGAATCTGAAGAAAGCAGTCTTCTGGGATTTGGCACCGTGTATATGTGGTGTTAACCCATATACACGGTGCCAAATCCCAGAAGACTGCTTTCTTCATAAGTATATGTTGTTGTCTCGTGACCAAAATGCAGGGCAAAATCATGACATAAAGACAGGAAACAGATGTTTTGAAAATGTGGCACAGTTCAGATATTTGGGATCAACGATAACAAATAAAAATCTGATTGAGGAGGAAATTAAGAAGAGATTGAACTCGGGTAATGCTTGCTACCATTCAGTCCATAAACTTTTGTCTTCTTGTCTGCTGTCCAAACCCTAAAAAATTAGAATGTAATATAAGATTGGATTCTTCAACTGAGCTAATCCTTCAAGCCGTACTATGGCCCTGAGGTCGAGTCAGCCGCTAACAGAAATGAGTACCAGGAATCTTCCTGGGGGTAAAGGGCGGCCGGCTCATAAAGCAACAACCTCACTGCCAACTGTGTGCCGATTGTCTAGAAAATGTGGCAACCTTGACATCTCACGACCCTATGGGCCTTTACTTCTTTTTTTTACTATATTAGGAACAGAATCTTTGTCTCTCTCTCTGCATTGTAATATTTTCTCTGTTTAGTCTTTTTGTCAGCAATATATTAATTGATTATTGGGATTTTGATGCCGCTTTTTAAACTGCATACGTTACATGGCGTCGAATGCTGGGATACCTACGGTTGAAGAACGGAACTGGAAGAGAGAGAAAACCTGTGGCCTACTTTAAGGTAGCACCCATCAGTCACGTGGAGGGACAGGGAAAAAACGAAGAGCCCCCAGTAAAGGTAACTAATCCCCGAATGACGTTCGAAACCGTAAACTCCGAAACACGAAGCATGAATAGCAACCTCCTCACTGCAGAGCGCTGCGTCAGTAACAGACTCCATGCCTCTATTGCGTGTTTTCGTAATGTACGTGCTTTCAACAATATAATTTGTGCCTCTATGCAACATAGTATCTGGACGGTTCTCTCAAGAGCACAATTCTATTCTACCTTCGATAAATTAACATGGGACAAACGAAGGATGCAGTGTGTTAGTGAAAACACTGCGCATGTCTATCTATCCAAACTTGGGCACTGCATCTCCACTAGGATGAAATAGTTTCGCGTCAAGTGGTTACTGGGAACGACACTGTTCTTATCGGTACTGATACTTTGGCCACAGGGTGCTCCACAATCTCCTTCGCTACTCCGAACCGAAACTCACTTCTTTTTTGCTTAGTCAATAGACTGATTCTTTTTTATTTTACAACGATATATCAAGTGCAAAGTTTATGTTGAATACGAATCGAGACTCGTGAAGAAATAAGGAATTTTAAGTGGTCACTTCTTGTGGAAAAACTGAGGAAAACCAAGATAATCCTTCGTCAGGAAACCAGCTGAATTTATAAGCTGATGACACAAATACAAATCTAAACCTCGGCGCTATACCTACGTGTTTGGATGCTCTGCGTATAAAAGTAAAAAATGTTTCTTGAATTAAGTCCCACATTGCATTCGCATATAGGGGACGCAGAGGTAAGATGGTATTCCCAGACTATCTATCTATCTATCTGTCTATCTATCTATCTATCTATCTGTCTATCTATCTATCTATCTATCTATCTATCTGTGCCTCTACAACCATTGCGGGCCTTGGCCGCTTTTTCAGTTTCTTAATCTATACACAGTCGGTAGAACTCCTGGGATGTGGGATCAGCCCATCGCAAGGTCGCTACCTACACATGACAAAACAAACACAGAATAATCGCACACATACATCCATGCCTCCAGTGGATTCGAACTCACGATTCTAGCGTTCGAGCGGGCGAAGACGGTTCATGCCTTAGAGCGTGCGGCCACTGTGTTCAGCCGGTATTTCCAGTACCGCCATTAAAAACGGTAAAACTGCTTCCTCGTGTCACTTCGCATCTGGCAACAGAATGCCGAGGCCCATTATATAGGGAGGCGCGTGAGGCTCCGAACCGAAATCCTGACTTCCAGTGAATACTCTTCAACCCTGAAGCAATCTAGTAGAGGCCTATAGGCTACGTTTGTCTCCATCTGCATAGATTTGCCCTCTGTTTTCCCAGTTTGCCGGTGTTACGGCACAATTCCTCAGCCGAAAGTTATTTTGTCTCTGCGTGGGTGAGGAGCAGAACAGAACCACCACTGGGGGAGACTGTGGCAGTCTGTCCGTTGTGATCGCGTGTTCGGAACCCTCTTATGTCGCTAATATTTGGGATTTTTTCCTGTCTTCTGGGCTTCCAGTTTATATAGAATCATCACGATTTCTGAGTCTCTTCGCCATAGATGTTGAAACTTAATAATATTTCAAAAATCTCTTGATTTGCCTGGCGCCGGGATAGGTAAGTCGGAATAGGGACCAACTGCGGACTGGACGACCGAGGGGTCGGGGTACGAGTTCCGGTATGTGTAAAATTTTTCTCTTTATCACGGCGTCCAGACCAGTCCTGGGGTGCACCCGGCCTCCTATCCAATGGGTACCAAGATTGTTTTCCTCGGGGTAAAGCTACGGGAACATGAAGCTCGCCACTCATTCGAAACAGTGCAGAGGTCTAGAACACGTGGATCGATACATTCACCCCCCTCCCCCATATATTTTCATGGCGTAGTGTTTAAGTAGTTAGGCACAGGCAAACTTTAACTTTACCTTGATTTGACTGGGGCTAAGTTTTAAATGGCTAAGCAAATAAATAATGGAAGAAAACCCAGTAGTATAAAAGAGCGCTACTGATATTGTTACGCCCTTACAGCGAGTAAGACAAGTCTTCCAGAAGAGAACACGTGACTGTAAAACTGTCTTCACTGTACACAGAAACATCAACTTCATGCAAAATGTGGGACAGACAAGCTGTCGCATGGGCAC